TGTGCGTTATCATTAACAGCAAAGAGTGAAAATGGACAGATGAATGACATGGAGTGAAGGCGGCGTCATCGTCTCTTGACAGAATTCGACACTAAGCCGCTGAAGCCAGACTGACAGTCGGGGGAATGAAAGAGGATACTGTGATGACGGGCATTGCGAAAAGCTGCCAATCGAGGGATGACGGACCGTACGCGGGTTTTTCCTCGCTCTGAACAATCACAAAGCACAATCGCAATGTCCAGTAATGGAGATTGTTGCATATTGCGGAGATCAAATGAGGACATCTGCGGACGACGAAGTCCACTTTGTCAACATGTTTCCTGGAGGTGAGATGTGGGCGGGCGTGGTCCCGTGGCCCGCCCCTCTCGTTCCTCCCGTACTCCTCTATCTAACCGAACTCGAGTGAAAGGCTGGCGCAGGGTTCATGACAGATGATTGACTAAGGAGCTACGATACATACGTGTAAATGACAGCCGATTCGCTTGCAAATGATGTGTCACTCAGTGCTCCACACAAAGTCGGCTGATAAACCGACACGAATATCGCTAAACCTCTATCTCAAAGCTCTAATGCTCAAACTTCGAAAAAAAAGTAGTAGTTCGAGGGGCGGGGAAGAGAGGGAAAAGGGGAAGGGATGGAGAAGGGAACGGAGTTAGGAGGATATAGATGGGTCCTTGTAGAAGCAATTTTCCTATGTAGAGATGCATAGTAACGGTCACCAACACAATAAGTCCGTGCAAGAGTAAATTTTTATCAAAACCTCGTTTCTTTTAACCACTGGATTTAGGCTTTGCTCTTCCATAAATATCACACTAACAAGTGACATTAGTCTTCGTGGCAAAAGAGGTAGACTCTACGGGTTTCCTTGCTCAGCTAATTGAGGTATTTACTCAAACGGCCGAATACAGTCTTATCCATCTAAAAGACAAGAAGACTTCTTATTGGGGCGAGTGAATCAGGGTTAGCTCAGCCTTCTTAGCATTCGTTAGCGAGAGAAAAGTATGTATTAGCTTGCTGGATGCTTTGATGGACGAGAATTGATCTCGAGGTTTTCTTCAAATATTTTCCTCCAAATTCACGTTGAGGTAAGACTGTATACTCATATACTTAGAAGTGTAATGACTTTACTACTAGGAAGTTATGCACGTTTGTTCACTTTAACAATGAACGCAAAAAACTTGTCGCAGAAAGCATTGACAGGTGTCTATAGTCAAATCTCTTATGAACACCTATATTACTCTGATTACAGAATAATAATTAAGTTGGCGAAGCGCAGTCTCTAAACTGGTGAAGTAACACAATTTGTGAGACCACCTTTAAACTTAAAGAATCAAATTCATTTGGAGGGTCACTATATGAAAGGTAAATTCGTCAGGTTTGCGTTGATATTCAACCAGATCAACACTATAGTATAACAGTATGCTAACACTCGGACGAATTTTTTTTGAAAAATTACGAATCTGATTACTAAAACTCATAAGGCTTTCAGATACTTTCGTCGTATAATCTTGTAGCAAGCTATTCATAAGAGCTCGTTTCTTATTAGGCTCCAATGCCCTAAATTACATGCAATTAGACTAACTCAAGTTAATATTGGCAATTAGTGCGAGCCTTTGTGTAAACCCAGATCTGAAATACTGGCAAGAGCTGTGAATATTTAGCGATTGATGTTGTAGGCGAGGTATACAAGTATCCATGGGGGGCTGATGCGCGTATTCATGCAGTACGGACGGCGTGATGTCTTATCCGAGGCGGCAGAGTGTCAGGTTCGCTAGCTGCGTTCATCCGTCTGTGCGTGTCGTTGCCAATCACTCCCGTGTCACACGCAATTCGTCCACGTCCGCGCACCGACAGACGACACCGCAGCGCATCTGACGGACATCCACATGGCCGAAGCACACTTCAAGCCGACTTCACTGAATGTCACCTTTTTCGCCTCGTAATGTTGGCAAGCCTCCTGCAACTTGGGCTTTTGCAAAAAAAGAAACTTTTTGATGGATTTGAAATAGATTAGATTATTCAAAACATTAACAGAAGGTTTCAACTCATACTTTCAGTACTCTATTGCGGAAATGAGATTTCAAAAAAGTAATTACGCTAAGAATGTTTTCAGACGGCCTAGGATAATCGTAACTAATTGAATCAATCAAAAGAAAAAAAACCCTTCAAATTTTTTTGGTCAACTACTCAAGAAATTGCAGTCAAAATCTTAAACAGCAAAGAATGGAAGCAATCATTAGTGCGAATAACAATGCTTATCAAGAAGAGATGCAACAAATACTCAAAACTAGTGAATTAAAGAAGAATTTTTAAAAAATATAATAGTTATCCCAAGCTTTTACCGCCTTCAAATACCTGTTCTCTCTTATATGAGCTTGGTTGGAGTTTTTAAGTTTTTGAGAGTTGCAGAGGACTAATTTTCAAATAGTGAGTGGGGTAAGGTGATTTGTTAACTATGCTAAGAAAATTATTCACTGACGCGTACCTTTCGCACTACCATCCAGCGT